CGGGAGGCCCACGCCGGCGAGGGTGCGGGCGGCCGCCGCGTGACCTTGGGTGGCCGCCCCGCGGGGCGAGATGGCGCGGCCCCGGGCCTCCAGGGCTGGCGAGGGGCAGTGGGCGCCCGGTAGAGGGGCTGGCCCCGCGGCCTCCGTGTATGGGAGGGCCCTGGGAAGGAGAACTCCGTTCCCACGGACAGAAAGTTGTGCGCGGTGGCACGGTGCCCAGGCGAGTCCACAAAGGACTGCTAGTCCTCTGGGCCCGGAAGCTGCTTCCTGGACTGGGTGGGTTCTGGAGGTGCTGGCCCTCCAGCCTAGAGCTGGGGCCCGGAGGGCGGCCGCGGCCGGGAGGAGGCTGGGGTTCGGCCCCCAGATCAGGGTTCCAGTCCAGCTGGTGGACTTCTCTAGAGGGCACTGGTTCCTAAGTGGGGCCATAGGGTGGGCTCGGCCTGTGTTCTGTGGCCAGAGTACACCTCCCCAGGCCCCTGGCCTTGCTCCAGGTGGTCAGCCTTGACCGCTCAGAGCCCATCACTCCAGAGAAGGGCGAGGCGCCTTGGTCAGGCCACAACTGGGTCTGCAGCTCACAGGCCACCCAGAGGGCCTGAACTAAAGCCTTAGAGTCGTTTTCCTTCTCTTTTCTTTTTCTTTAAAGCACTGTGATTTAAATAACAATAGCAACTGTATGACCTTTGGCAGGGCCCTCCAGGTGCGCAGTAGGAAGAGGCTCCCCTGTCCGTCCAGGGCGGCTTGGTTTGGACACTGGTGTGAACATTTCTCTGTCTCTGTTCACCACCCCGTGTATGTCGGGATATATTTGTACATGGCTCTGGACAGCTGACTGTCATTAGCAGGCCTTGGGCCTGGATGGGGATGGGGGACATCCAGAGGTCTTGCAGCCCAACCCTCTGCCTCCAGGCCACACCCACTCACACGGGGGGGAGGGTGTCTCCTCGGGGTTCCTTCTTGACCTGTCTTTTCCAGTCTGGCTTCCCATTGCCAGTGACCTGCTGAGCCTAGGGTGCTTTCCATCCTTGGGCCAGGTGTGGTCTTTCCTGCACCGGCATTTGACACAGGGCTGTGTGACATTCCTGTTGTTTGCTTAAGACAGGGCAAAATGATAATGGGTGCCAGCTCGTGCCTTCTGGGCCAGAGAGGTAGCTTCAGACAGAGTGTCTGGGCCAGGTCTGCCTTTGTGAGCCTCAGGTGGAGGATGGTAAAGGAGTGTCCAAATACTTTTTCCCAGAATGCCCAGGGCTAGTGATGGAGTAACTGGATTTTGAGGGATGCCTAGTTCTTCCAACAGAGATGTAGTGGGAAGGACTTTGTAAGATCATCAGGCAAAGTGTGCTTTGGCAGAGGCTGGCTGGGGGGCCGCCACAGGGCCCCAGGTCTCATGTCGCCTGCCCCTTTTGTGGACTCCTGAATGCTGTAATTGTGGGTCTGTAACCACCCAGCTCTGGGTGCTCCTCAGCAACAAACTGTCTGAACATCTCTTTGTCCCCAGTGCCCAGTGAAGGGTTAGCCAAACCAGAGAGGCTTGGTACGCGGTGGCCAAATGAATAAGCCAAATTCAGAGCAGCAGGGTGCTGTGGTTTTGGGGGGGCCTGGGGTTTCTTCCGAAGAGTTTTTAGGGATCTGCTTTGCACCACTGTCTGCCCCTCTAGTCCCTTCCCACTGCCTGTTTGGGTTTCTGCATTCCCAAGTTCCCAGTCGAAGCAGGGAGGAGGAGCCTATGAACCTGTGTTAGGGGTCCCAGACCACGGGGGAGTGGGAAAATTCATGGGGCGAGGACAGTGAACAGGCTCACACACCAGGGTGGGCCAGAGCAGAAGCAGCTAGGGCTGCCTGGAGGAGGCAGCCTGCCAGCCGGGTAGTAGGTTGAGCAGGCTGCCTGTCCCGGAAAGCCATCCGGAGATAGAATGTTCACACAGAAGCCTGGGAGGTAGGCATGGAAGCAGCCTTGCATCACAGATGGACAGACCTGGGTCTGGGAGCACTGCCTAGTAGACATGGGTCTCACACAGTGGTGTCTCAGAAGTCAAGCAGGCTGACAGGGAGTAAGGGGACCCGGGAACCAGAGATTGGGCAGGTCACATGGGAGGACAGAGGTAATTGTGGGGCCTCTGGGGCCCACCAAAGCTGACCCCAAGCAAGATACAGCTTCACATGATCCTTGGCTTCTTCTAGAGGCTGTGGCCAGGCCGGTGAGTTCAGCTTGCTGAGAGGCGACTTGGAGCATCCCTGGTTTACCCCTGCCGGTGGGGGCTACGGATATCATGGACGACGCCGTAGCCATTGTGAAGGAGGGCTGGCTGCACAAACGAGGTCAGTACCTGCTGTGTGGGAAGGGGTGGGACTGGGACAGGACTGGGCCTGGGTCTGCCCAGCTTCCTGATGTGGAGCTGGGCGGGGTAGTGCCGCCTAGCAGGCAACCTCATGGTCCTGTCCCAAGAGTACTTGTGTCTAGGCCTGTTGGGTAGCAGGGGTGCCCTCTCATGGGGCTCTGGGCCTGCTTTAGTGTGCAGGCCCTGCTCTCCCCATAGCACGGAGGTCATGGCCTCCTCTTGGGGCCTCCTCTAGGGAGGCTGAGGCCCTGTGCAGGGCCTGCTGTGGAGGGGTTGGGGGTGGGGGTGGGGCCAGCTGCTGCTGCCTCCCTCTTGGCTTTCCTGGAAGGCAGCAAGGATACAACTGCTGTTCCAGGGCTGGCAGCCTGGGCACTGCTCAAGGGCTCCTAAGGGCAGGCAGGGCAGGGCTGCTCAGCCTGGCCTGGTGCCTTCCTCAGCCTTGAACTCCCGAGGCTAGGGGGCTCCTCACCAGCAGGGGCCCAAGTGGGGCACGTTGGCGTTAGAGCTGAAGAGCTGGCCTAGATACCCCTCCTGGAGCCAGGGCTGCTTACCTTCCAGCCTGCCCACCAGCTGTTCTCCCTTCAGGCTGCTGGGGGTCGGCTTCAAAACCAGTTTGCCAGAACAGTCACTTGCTCTTGCCTCAGGGAAGGCATCTCAGCCCCTCCTGACTTCCTCTTCCTGTAGACCTGCTCCCTCCGGAAGCTCTAGTGACCCTTGCCAGTGCTAACCACTCCTCCTGTCCCTCCAGCAGAGGGAATCCTGCATCTTGGTGGCTAGAGGAGGATCCCAGGCACAGCAGATGGAGGGCAGGGGGACAAAAAGGGGTGTTACGGCAGGACGTATTATGGGATATAGCAGAGAAGGCCTGGGAGCCCTAGGAACTAAGAAAGGAGGTTGGGGAGGGTGGCCAGGAGGAGACTCTAGGCCCCAGGAGGGCCCAAGCAGGGATGGAGGATGTGGTCAGCTTTGTCAAGAGGACTCCGTCAGACAGCTGCAGGTGTGGGCCTCCTGCCCCCATGGCCTGCCTTCGAACCTGCTTCCTAATGCTCTCCTCTGTTCTCCCAGAAGTCCTACCTCCTCTGCCTAGGCTCCTAGGTCACGCTGTCCCATCTGTTTCACCTCTTAGTTCTCTTTGGTAACAAGGATAGTCCCCTTTGGCCCCTATTCCTATCCTCTGAGCCACACACAACCTGCTTCCTGGGCAAGTGTTGTTGGACGACAGAGTTAGGGCCAACCCAGAGATTGCCTGGGTCTCAAGTTACTGGGTCATTCCTCAGGTAGGAGCCCCTCTAAGGCCTGGGGGGGAGTATCAGATTGACCCTCATGGCTAAGTTTTCTGAAGGGGCCAGGTAGAGCAGTACCCCCCAGGGCACCAGAGGCTAGGTTTGAGCCTGATTTCACCCCTCTATCACTGTCCCCTCCAGGAGAAGTTCATTGAGTTCCTTAAGCCCCAGTCTCCCCGTTTATGCTATGGAAATGGTGGTGTGTAAAGAGGTAGAGAGGAGAGTATTGTCTGTGGGGTACCCCACCTAAATATGATGCTCAATCTGTGGGATGGAAGGGGAGCCCCTGTCTGTGATGTAGGGTCCAGCCAGCTTCAGCGACCTCTGGGTACTGTTATTTGGCAACCAGCCTCAGGCCAGAAGAGACAGGTCATCCTCATGGCCCCTTAGCTTCATCCATTTCTAGCCCAGGTGGTAAAGGTGTGCTGGGGGAAGATGACACCCATGTGTCACATTCCTGGGCCCGCCCCTCCCATAATACCCTGTTCTGGGCAGCTGTATCCTACCTATCTGGCCTGCTCTTGCTTGCTCTCTTCCTTCTTAACCACCCCTGTGTGTCATGGTCTCCAACTCACCTCCGTATCACTGGTTTGGGGCTCCATTCCTCTCCCTGTCTTGGGCTGGGGTCAGCAGGCCACATGGGGCTGACCTTTGCCAACCTGGGATCCCTGACTGGGATGGACAGGGAGGGAAGGGAAGGTTGTTACAGTTGTCCCCTGGGGCTGAAAGGGTTCTTAGACACTGCACTCCCTGTCCTTTGTTGCCACTGCAGGTTAGAAGAGGGATGTCCTGTCTGCTGGGTCTCCCATGTCCGGGCAGGGACTTGGAGCACACTGGTTCTTCACTGAAATCCCAGGTCCCCTTTTGGCTGCTTGTCCTGGCCCTCCTAGGCTGACTGTGTCTTCAGGGCTGTTTGACCATGGAGATAGGATGGTGTCGCACCGCCCCCACATGTTTACAAAGTCTAGGCGTCTGTCACCTCTTGAGAGCTAGGTGCCCACCCCTAGGAAGTGTCCCCAAGCTGGTTCCTGAGTTTGCTGACTGTGCTTGCGGAGGGCTCCCAGCCAAGGTAACCAGTACCAGAACAAACTTTCTAGTAGTCCATGGATTTGAAGCTGGACAAGCACACTGGGCTTAGCACCCCTGTGTGTCCAACAGGGGCTGGTCAGTGGGTTTGAGCGTCTAAAGACGTGCCAATAGAGAGGTGGCTGGCCTGGTGTAGAGATGGGTGGGCAGAGGTGCTGCTCAGACATCCTTATTCAAATGAGTGGTTTGGGGTTGATGAACTCTGACTGTATCTCAAAGCCAGCCTGGGGTCAAGTTGCAGGTGTGACCAAACTTGGCCTATGACCTCCAGTTGAAGTCTTGGGTTGCCAATCAGCTCAGTGCTGAGGCCACAGACCTGTCTGTGTTACTCTTTTGGAGTGTTGTTCCCCCAAAGTCCTGATGCCTGTTGGCTATGGGCCATCTCAGCTGAGCCTGGCCCCATAAGAGCTGCCCTGGCAGAGCCTCTTAGCTGGGGAACCCTGCTCTTTTCTATTTGGCCAGGCTGTCCATTGTACTGTGCCCCTGACCCACAGCAGGTAGCTGGACCAGGTGGGTCAGGAGGAGCCAGAGGACACTGTCACAGCACAAGAAGGGGCTATGGGTTTGGAGTGGGAAGTGTCTGCCAGCTGTAGGGCCACCTCTTGGGCTCACTCAGCCAGCTGCTAGCCGAGAGGGGCACAGAAGGGAGGGATGGCATGACTGTCCTCACAGGACACCACCTGGCAGGATGAGGTGGTGTGGATGGGGATGGAGGGAAGTTTGCCTACACCGTGGGTTCTCTGACCCCTGGGACCTGCTTAGAAGAGGCCACCTGTGTAGGTCTTCAGTGATGTGTCCCAAGGTGCATGTGTCTGGGCCTCAGATTTATCTTAGCCCAAGATGGAAGGGTCGCCCTGGTGTACAGGCTGTAACCCCACCCTGTCTCTGGCATGGGCCCTCCTGCTCTTGCCCCAGAGGCACACTAGTGGAGAGCTCTGAGCCTGAGCCCTGGCATCGAGGGGCTCATGGCTGCCTTTCTCCTCCTGGTCCAGCTCAGTTGATGTCCTGGTGCAGGCTATTCTCCCTGGGCACTCTGAGGTGGCATGTTCTACCCATCATCCCTTTCTGCCTGGCCAGTCCCTAGGGTCCTTGTGTGGGGTGGGAGTAGAGTTGACTGACTGCCCTGCTCTGCCAGGCAAGTTTGGGGAGCTCCCTCCCAGTGTTTAGACTTGTGGCCAGTACTCCCAGAATCTCCTAGGGCCTTTTCTTCCTGGCTGTCAGGTGGGTGTTGGCCCCAGGCTCACATCCCGTCTGAGAGTCCTGAACCTAGTGGCAGGTCAGTGCCTTGGGGTAGGAGTAGTGCTGTGGGTGCCAACAGGGCCCAGGAGAGAAGTCAGCAGGTAGTGCCTGCTGGAGGACTGGGCAGAGGGTGAGAACTGGACTCCGTGATCCCCCATGGAGAGGACAGTGCACGGGGGCTGGGCTGGAGCAGGGGCTGGGGCTGGGGCTGGGGCTCGGGCAGTTTCCTGTTTTGTAAAAGTGTTGAGTTCTTCCTTCAAAAACAAACAACAAAAGAGGAAGCTGGGCGGCCCTCACTGGGGTGTGAGGGTCACTACTGGCCCCGCCTGCTCCCAGTACCCATCAGCCTGGTGACTCCTGAGTGGGCAGTGCCCCTCTCTGTTTCTTGCTCACTGTCCTTTGGGCAGGGTTGTTCCAGTGGGGCTGAACTGCATGGAAGTCATAAGGTGGCGGTGGTGGGGAGTGTGTGGAGGTGGGGGGAGCCCATTGACCTGCTGGGCCAGAGACAACCTCCTGGGTGCCAGTTCTGCAGGGTGGCAGCATGCACTGTGCAGAAGGGCCACTGAGACCTGGAAAGAGATGGGTGGCCCGTGGGCAGTCAGACCATAGCCAGTTGTGGCTTGAGGGGTTGCATCAGGCTGGTTCCTAGAAGTGCTATGGTGGTGGGGCTGAGCAAAGAGGACGGGCCTGTCCTTGGCTGGCAATCCCCTCTGCACCAGCACACCCGCCAGGCACAAGGCCAGCCCTAGCCCTCAGGCCCTCCCTGTAACAGTAGCTGTGGCTGTCAAATAACCACCCCCACTTCGGCTGGCTGCCCCACCCATACCCAGCACTTCTCTAGGGGAGGATCTCCAGCCCAGACCTGGGCTCCAGCCTCAGCAGGTAGGTCGAGGACTGTGGTGGTCCGCCTCAGCAGGTAGGTCGAGGACTGTGGTGGTCCAGTAGACTGGCCTATCTGCATGGAGCAATCCCTGATGCCCAGGGGGCCTGTCCTTTGCCTCTGGATATTCCCCTTCCCTCCCTCCATTCCATTCAGTTGTGGTGTTTTGAGATACTATCTTTGTAGCCCAGGTTGGCCTGAACCTGTGATTTCCCCCTACCTCCACCTCATAGGTACTAGGGTTGCAGGCATGTGCTACCGTGCCGTTTCCTGACACATTTTGCTTTGTTGGCTCACTCGGACCCTTGGCACAGGACTTGGGAAGTAGAGGTCCCCAAGGCATTGTTTCAGAGCAGGTCTCCCTGCCCTTGGCCAGGGTCTACCTGGACCATAGAGGCTCTGGGAGCTGTAGGGGATGAAGGCCTCAGTTTGCCCATTCTTCACTAGAGGTGAGGCTGGGGCTGCCCCTGGGTCCCAGCTGCTCTCCAGCAC